TGTTGGTTCAAATCCTGGTTATTGTTGTGTGGACCAGGGGGTGTGGTGGAACGCCAAGGTGAGGATCCGTCCGAGCCATCCACCTGCGGCCTCCCTCGTCTCCGGTCTTCTTGACTCTGTCTTGACACCGGGCCCAGGCGGCGGAGGAGGAGAGAGTGTAGGTAGATGCTACGCAAGTCTACTGGCACTATAAACCCCTGCGTAAGTCACCGTGTCTGCTCCCACCGCTGCTGCAGCTGTGGGGCACACGGTGGACATCGTCGAAATCGTCGGTCGAACTGTCATCAGCTACTTACCAAAGGGATTGCGTTCATTGGTGAACATGCATGGTTGGATTTCAGCGGCAAGCAATTCTAGTCAGCGACAGTCCGCTGACGCATACTTGGATGATCGGTATTCTCATAGGTCTCGTTCGTAAAGTGCCAGCAGTTTCGTCAGTGATAGTTGATCTTCGGCACATATACGGCGCTCAAATGAAATTTTTATTGTTTCGCATTTTAGGTTGTATTTCGGCACTTAAAGCGTTGCTGCTCTCATAACGCCGATTCTTACTATTTTCCTTACAATGGTGACTTACTAGTTCGTTTAAATTGGAGGTAATGACAGGGTCTTCTAACCCACAAGGCCTCCTCCAAAGCATGCCATATACGAGTTGGTCTTGGCTCTCCTCGATCACGCACGATGCCAACACAAGCACTGGTTCGATGACAACGACGCTGTCAAAAAGAACTGCCTGCACAAAGCCTACGTCACCGGCCTCACCGCCGACAGCAAATCAACCTTCTGCCGCAGTCGCCGGACTTTTGGACGCTCGCAAGGCTGAGGAGATCCAAGGTTACGCGGACCGCAACGAATGGAAGGACTTCTTCTCCGCGACCAAGGCTGTCTACAGTTCGCCAACAAAAGCAAATTCTCCTCTTCTCAGCGCCGACAGCAGTAACCTACAAATTCTACAGCGATGGGCTAAGCACTTCCGAGGCGTTATCAATCGCCCCTCCACCATCTTCGACGCTTCATTTGCCCATCTGACTCCACTGGGGACGAACGTCAACTTCGACCTATTGTCCTCTCTCCACGAAGCCATCGGGGCCGTGCGACAGCTCTCAAGCAGGCAGCACCCGGATCGGACGCGATCCCTGCTGAGATCTACAAGTACGGTGGCCCCCAACTCATGGATCATCTGACGGCTCTATTCCAGGTGATGTAGGGCCAAGGAGAAGTTCCGCAGGATTTTAAGAACGCACAATCGTGCATTTATACAGACGGAAAGGAGACCGTTAGCTCTGCGACAATCTTCGAGGCACATCCTTGATGAATATCGTCGGGAAAATCTTTGCACGCATTGTTCTCAACTGTCTGAACTACCACCTAAAACAAGGTCTTCCGCCGGAAAGCCAATGCGGTTTCCGCCGTCATCGTGGGACCGCCGACATGATCTTCGCCGCCCATCAACTTCGGGAGAAGTGCCAGAAGATACGGACCCACATGTACTCTATCTTCGTGGATATGACGAAAGCCTTCGACACGGTGAATCGTGAAGGACTGTGGAAGATCATGCAGGAATTCGATTGTCTCGACCGATTCACCCAGATGGTGAGTCAACTCCACGATGGCATGATGATAAATATTGTAAGAAATAAAGCCACATATCTGGGCAGCTTTGGCTGTAATTCTGTCAGCGTCCGACTCTGCCTCATCCCCCCACGCCGGCAACAAAAACTGACCACACTCCCGAATCGTCAAAACCATCCTCCTCCACTGCCTCAACATCCGCTACGCCGGCTCATGTGCCCACCACGACTGCACACAATCCTGACACACAGACAAACATAAATTCCCCCACCACCAACGCCAGCGGTGTGGACTCGATCCTTACCTGTCCTCATCGTGACCGCGCCTCCACCTCACGCATCGGCCTGGTCGGCCACTTGCGAATCCATCGTACGGAGACTGACGAACCAGTGTCTGGAGCACCAGTCTACACTCGTCGCACTCGCCTCCACTGTTCACACTGCCACGCACATTCCCCCACCGCATAAGCCCATCAAGTCACATTTGTATCTACGAGAGCGAGATTAATCGCAGTCTCGACACACCTAGTATCCCCTGCACATTCCCCATGCCTAGCACAACCCATATCCCGCCGCCTAGCACATCCACCACCATCAGCTCTACCACACTCAACACATCTTGCCCACCCACAAGAAATGGCTCTCAGTGGGACCGAAAAATTACCGTGACTGGCCTCTGGGCTGCTCGTAGGCTCGACCATGCTATCCACCTGCGTCCTTCCCCCACCTCCGGAATTTTTTGACATTGGGCCCAGGCGGGGGAGGGGAGGCGAGAGTGCGGTAGATGCTGTGCAAGCCTACATTCATCATAATGTACTTCACGCACAAGTCACCATGCCTGCTCCACCTCGTTGCGCAGCAGCCAATGGGCATCGTCGGCAATGACGGTCGAACTATCGGCAATCCGCAACTGCCTACTCTCGTATTCGATAATGCATCCGTTTGCCTATTTCGTTCTAAGCCCATCTAATTCTCTGTTAGTTTAATGTCGGCGGCGCACGTCGATCGTCCCCCCGTCGTGGCAATAACCTAAATTTGATACACATTTTGGCCTTCACTGATTGGCTGCAGACAAACATGTCTCTGGTGCACGCCCACAACCTCACGTCGGACTTTAAAGATGAGAAGAAATGGCTCCCAGTGAGACCGAACTATTACCGTGGCTGGCCTCTGGGCTACTGGTAGGCTCCTTTTTACAGCGAAGAGTAATTTTGCCTCCCTGACTTCTGATTAGGCGAACATGTCGTTGGTGGCCATAAAAAACTCACGAGAACTGAACTTTACAAAAGCGATATTAGACTTCTCATTGAATTCGGTTGCCGTAAAATTTGCTTTGCCCTTAGAGGAAAATATTGCATCCAGACCCTCAGCTTTGCAAACCATGGCATTTAATACGTCGTCACAGAGGGAAGCGCAGCTAAAAGTAGCCAAAAGTCGAGGGGGAGGGGTGCATAGAGGGGGTAATAAATGTCAAGCGGGGATGGTGTTTGTCGATCAGGCCTGTTGACAGGGTTGAATGTAATTTCGGATTTCCAGCCTCGATCCCTCGCAGATGGAGTCAGGGACTTGGCTGGAAACGTAAAAGTTTTAAACTTCAGGTCAAACCCCATCTGCATTTTTCCAGTACGTAGCGTACGCCCCGAAGCTAGTGATAGATTGACCCATTATACTATGGGCCTTACTTGTCCCGCTGTGTCTTGGGGTTCAGCGGCTAGTATTATACGCAGAATGACATTATCGACAGGTCGCGGGTCAGAGCCTCAGGGGCCGCGTACTTCGGGGTTGGGTGGGATTGGCTGACGAGAATTAACAAACCAGAAACGGCCATTCTAATCTCCCTTGTCTTTGTCCGTAATGCCAATCAGCCTAACAAACTTTCTATCAGAACTTTGAAAAAGTCAGATGAGTAGCTGTGTGGTATCGTCAAAAAAGTAGGAAATACAATCATTACCGGCAATTTTTTTCGATGGCTGGCATAATCTTCAATGGAGAACTGGTATACTTCGGTGCGTAAAATGACCTGAAAGCACACGGTCTTCATGCCGACCTTCCGACATTGATCGAGTAGCCTTCCTTGCCTAAAGGCACCGTCCACTGTCTTGTTCAGTTATTCGTCAGCACCAAGGAGAACAATGTGTACCTTCATTTATAATACCGAGATTTTAAAAAATTACCATGATGCTTAGAGAACTAACTCTACTCGAAATGTCGGCGACGGTATAGAGAAGGACCCCACTTAAGTGTTAGTAGACTGTGGATCGTGTCATATGGGGTTGTATCTTGGCATACATTTGCAGGCTGTTGCAGAAATTACACTGTCAACAACGATTACCTCCCACAACCTCACACCTTGACTCAAAATCCGCTATTTTGTAAAATTTTACTTTTTGTTTATTCTTTAATAACTACTCTCATTTCCGTTGTTGTACAATGGCGTAAGATAATACCTTCGACATAAATCCAGGCAATTTCTGTGTCTTTTTTTCATTTTGTCAGCTTACTGTCCATCGAGCTGCCCCATCCATAAAATTCCCCTCACCATAAATCACGTATGGCATGATCCACAGTCTACGGACAGTTAAGTGGGGTCCTTCTCTATGCCGTTGCCACGCCAACGATGCGAGTGTTCTCCCATGCAAATTTGTGCCCATTGTCTAGTGTGTGCATGGCCACCTGGGATAGATGGTCGCGTCTCTTCACCGCTAACTGGTGTTCATGTACACGGGTTGACACAGAGTTCCCAGTTAAGCCGCAACAGACGGCATCAAGCAATATCTTTTTTCAGGCGTTTAAGTATTAACTGTTTTGCACAATTTCTACGCGTCTGACAACGACCTGGGGAAACCAACATCGCAAATTTACGGAAGAAATGTTAGTTAATTTCTCAAAAGACTCATTTTTCTTCTAAAAAGATGTTGTCCACAAAATTCCACGTTCCAGCTGTGATGCCGCCTGTTGCGGCTTAACAGGGAACTCTGTCTCAGCCCGTGTACATGAACACCAGTTAGCGGTGAAGAGACGCGACCATCTATCCCAGGTGGCCATGCACACACTAGACAATGGGCACAAATTTGCATGGGAGAACACTCGCATCGTTGGCGCGGCAACGGTATACCGAAGGACCCCACTTAACTGTCGGTAGACTGTGGATCGTGCCATACGTGATTTATGGTGAAGGGAACTTTATGGATGGGGCAGCACGCTGGACAGTAAGCTGACAAAATGAAAGAAAACACAGAAATTGCCTGGATTTATGCCGAAAGTCTTATCCTACGCTTTTGTGCGACAAGGGAAGTGAGAATAGTAATGAAACAATAAATAGATAGTAAATTTCACAAAATAACGAACTTTGAGTTCGGGTGTGACGTCATGGGAAGTAATCGTTGTTGGCAGTGTAATTTCTGCAACAGCCTGCAAATGTATACCAAGGTAAAACCCCATATGAAACTATTCACAGTCTACTGATAGTTAAATGGGGTCCTTCTCTATACCACTGCCTGTTGGCGCCTGCCGAATAAGGAAAGACCGCGAGTTCCCGGAGGCAAAATATCACCTCCAATCAGGTCGAGCGTCTCCAGCTATCACGACGACCTGAGGAGGCAGGATTGCAAAACAGAAGGCGATACAGACGCCAGCTGGCACTCACGGCAGTCTGATCGCATGTGCAGGCGATCATTTTGTGGGCGGTGTCCTCAAGGTCACAGCGGAGTGCACCAGAGGCAGTAGCACAGTAGCCTGCCAGCAAACTTCGTCGCTGCCCTAACGACATGTCGTGGCTGGAAGCGCACCAGTCAAGGATGTTTAAGCACGCGCTGGCTGGTTGCAGCTTTAGTACGTGCAGACCATGCGCTTATCAAGCGTTGTGTGACATACAAATGACTGCGTGGTGGTTCAACGGTTTATGTTACTAGGGGCCCTATTCGACGGTCTGATTTAAAGCCCTGTAAACTTGGGAAAACAGCAGTAAAATACACTGAGCGACCGATCTCATAAAACGTTGGCCGAAATTCTGAAATGCGTTTTCGACAGGGGAGGAGAACTTTCAGTAAGTGGGCTAACTCATGAAATGTCAACCGAAATTATGAAATGCGTTTTCGTTTCGAAAAGATTGATTAAGTAGGGTTGTAAAACTGGTCAGCCTGTAACATAACTCCATAATATTTCAGTTACCGCAGGATGCCGACTTTCGAACGAACTTCCTTCCGGCTGCATGCAAAAACTAAACTCTGTAGGAAATGACTTCGTATGTGGCGTGCATTTTCTCATTTATTTTCGATGCCTCTAAAAGTCCAATTATATTTCATGGAAATCTTGCATAAAAATATTCATCCTTCTATCCATTCGGTAGGAATTAACGTCTTCTTCCAATTTTATACTCAAAGGAGTGATATAATTCGGTTTTAAAAAACTTTTCCAATTCCCGAATAAATTTAAACCCGCTCCACCGTTACAGTTGGATTCAGGGTCTCCAAACTACAAGCCGTATATTTACCGCATACCAAAAACCGCACATTTCTCTACGGTAAAAAGGGGGATCATATGGGGTTCATAAAATTTAACACTGAAGTTGATCCATGTTGTTAGCTTTGCAAGCCACATTGGTAAATGCAGAGACATGACGATTTATGAACGGTTATTTCGCGGTATTTAAAAGTCCCACAATTAGAAACTTCTTAAAGACCGAGTTATGCCCATATGTCGAGCGCAAAATTGGAAGAAGACATTATTTTCTACCGAATGAGCAAAAGAATGCATATTTTTATTCCTGTTCTCCATGAAATATAATTTGACTTTTAGAGGCATCGAAAATCAATGAGAAAAATTCATGCCATATGAGTAATCATTTTTTACAGAGTGTAGCTTTTACATGCAGTCGGAAGGAGCCTCATTCGAAAGCCGGCATCCTGAGGTGCTGAAATATTATAGAATTATGTTGCAGGCTGACAATTTTTACAACTTCACTTAATTATTTTTTCGAAACGAAAACCCATTTCGGAATTTCGGTTGAGATTTCATGAGTTAGCCCACCTATTCTAGGTCTCTTTGAAATACTAATTGTCTTGCGATATAATCCTATGACATTTCGGACTCGCCTGGATGTCGGCTTTCGAGTGTAGTTCTTTTTGACCTCCTGTAGAAAATGCACTCGGTATAAAAGGACTACTTGAGTAGCATGCATTTTTACATTGACTTTCAATGATATTTTCAATTCAAATATGCTTAATAGGAGACATGCATAAAATACGCTTTATTTTACTTGTTTGGTATGAAATCACGGTTTCTTTACATTTTATACCCGAGGAAAGGGCATATTCAGGTTTTGAAGAAGTTCCCCACTTCCCGAATAATTTTGATCCCGATCAGCCGTTGTATTGGCATTTAGCGACTTCAGTCTACAAGGTGCATGCTTTCCGCGTAGGAGCAATCATACGTTCCTCTACGCTTTTAAGAAGATACCATCCAGAGTT